GCTGACAGTAAACCTAATGTAATTATTTTTATGTAAGAAACTGAAAATCATCGTCCAGTAAACTAAATAAAAATTTTAAAAATTTTCTCGCAGATAACAAGCTATATTCAAGATAAAATTAACAAAACATGTAAGTATAATGAAAACAAATCATCTGAATGCGACAGAAGAAACAACTCTCGAAACGTCGTGTGCATTAAATACACTTTTGAAAATGGACAATGTCGACTCATCTTAGTAACTGTCAACCTTAGTAATAACTCACAAATTATAATTAGTTACCACTGGATCTATTAGAGATTAAACGGCAATGGAAAACAACTAAAAGTTATAAAGCGTTCAGTTTTGTGCAATTTCCGAGAGCACATCGAGACATCTCGAAACAAGACACTCCAATCGAATCGCCTTTAAGAACACCCTGAGGCATTTCGCTCCATATTGCTGGGTGAAACTGTAGAGTCATGCCACATACCTGCTAACAAAAGAATTATTCGTGTCACTGACGAATTTCCGATATTATCTCTGCGTCGGATGTGACGTGTTGACATTGACGTCAAAGAATGCCGCCAGAAATGGCCTGGAGACAATCTGCCAAAGCACGCAAAGTTTGTAAGATAACAAAAAGGTATTGGTCTTCTCTGATAATAGTAAAGTTTCAAGCTGAACATCACACATATAGGTCAGCGATGCTCCAACCTATATACATTCCCTAAATCATTACAAAATACGCATGTTTAGTGTTCAAATGTGTGAATGCGATTCTGCATATCTTATTTGTCTTAATGATTATTTATTGAAGACACAGAATTCTATTTCTGTCAGACTGAAATGAAAAATATGAAGTTATAAATCATGTTTCTCATATCTCGTTAAACATTCAAACATTCAGAGCATGAACAAAGTAACAAATAAAAGTTTAAGGTCTTAGAATTTCTACGTTTTATGTTGTGTAGAAAGTTGGTTGCATCGAACTCTGAGCTGTTTTTGAGACGGACTATAACGTTAAATTTCAGCTTCCTCTAAAAGTATGAACACTATTGGACGCTTAATAACCAAAATGAAATTCGCCCAGCCACATTTGGACTATAGGTATCTAATACCAAATTTAGTTTAATTTCGTTCACTAGTCTGACATGTCCATTAGCCGGGCCAACAGACTAACAATGAAAGTTCTGCCCCTGACTATGACCCACAGCCAAGCCTGAACATTTAAATATGCTGTTTTCATCATTATCATCAACATGTAGAAGCATAAAAAAGACTGTAACAATCAACATCCAGCAGTTTTATTGAAATAAGCTCTATTACGCCAATTTTCCAAGTAAAATTTTCTGATGCAGGGACAACAGGGATAAACTAATAATTAGTTCCCACTTTATGTAACAAGAGACGGTACTTATCAAAAAAAAAGATAAATATTCTTGTTTATACGTAAATGAAAAGGTTGATGTTGATCTAGCCACAGACTTCTGCGTGGGTCTGCACTGCCAACGTCAAAGCTTTTTTTTTCGCCTGAGTATCAAACAATACACAACATATCGACAAGCTATTCAAAACACGAGATGTACGTCTCATTAGCACCTGTATCTTGTGTTATCTACCAATCTTTTTTACGATGAAAAGTTTCCAAGGAACATACTAGATACCAACCAACATCATATTCATTCAATATACATTGTGCAGACCACCAATCAGAATTCTTTTCGAGATCAGTTTAGCAGTTCATGAGATTAAACATGCAAACGGATAGACAGGCTATCTGCAAAGCCACTGCAACCATTCTACGCAATTAGTACCAAGACCATTAAAAACATAAAATTGGATCGAAAAGGGCGAAGATGGCTGTCTTCTGGGTTTGTACCGCCTTGTAGTCTGGTAGAAATTTACCAGCATTGCAGAGGTCTTTGCTGCCTCCATCATCAGGACCTCTGGAACTTTTGTAAACTTCAAGCAGACTACACGGTGCTACAATCCAGAGACCCTGTAATCGTTTTGAAACCAAAAGACCCATAAACGACTGTAGAAACAAGCTCCTGCGTTATTAAGTGTACCAACAGCTGTATCACATCCAAGATGCGTAGGTTTACATGTGTACACTGCCACCACCCATGAGCGGTGTGCTACAACGCAGTGATCAATACAATCATGCACACGAGATCTAGGTCAGACGACATCGGCAAAAGCCCAGAGTTTCAGCGAGACAAACAGAAACCGAGAGTTTTAAACATACATCTGGTTTGGAGCCTATTTTCGTCTCTTAAGGCCATATTAATAATGGTTCATTTTACAGTGATTTTCGGCTGCACATACGGAGTTATTTTACGGTTCTCAGAACAAATTAAAAAAACATCCAAACCTTCGGTAAAGGACAAATGTTGTAACGGTAATGCGGGGTGTTTTATCGGAGGTATAAAACTAAACGAACTGGATCTTTGTGTGATCTGGTCTTAAAAGGGTCATGTTCTAATTTACACCGTTATATTTTCATTTTTTTTCTCTCTGTCGCCTGTTTAGACTGATTTCTTTACCTTCTATAATGTTTGCCTGATATACAGCGTTCTATTTAAAACTCGACCCTAACAACATCAGTATTTGTAAAATTTGGTGACACCAATAGAATAAGGCAAACGAAGTGTTTTCTAATTTTTGTTTCTTAGGAACAACTTACAAAACAGTTTTACAGCGCACGCTAAAATGTCGCAGACAAGCATCCGTCCTCTTTAATGAAGTTTCGTGCTGGGAATCATTTCTGGGTCAGTGGTGGCAATCTGTTCGATATTGTGTATCAGTTCTCCAAGCTTCGCTGGTTACTCGTTGCAACTCTTTCTTTGCGAAATTGCCACCAAAAATACTCAGAGTAGTAAGGTCTGGAGATCGTGTTGGCCAAATGCCACGCCCAACAATGCGCTCACAACATATCTCTTTCAGTGAAGTAACTCAGCAGCTGCTGTCTTCGCCCCAGCATATCCTTTCTTCTTCTTCTTCCTTTTTCTTTAAAGTGTCAAAATTTCGGAAAACAACAGTCCCACATTTCGCCTTCGAACACTACGCACTACATGATAATTTTCGGTTAATACAGAGGCGATCATGTATTGCAAACAACTCATGCACTGACCTGATAAATTTCGTTAAAAAAAACTGACATGTGAGCGTCCTCCACAAAAATAAAATTATCAGCCTACAAAAAATTCCGGTACAAAAACTAAAGGATGTGATACCACGAATCTTTACCTCCGTGGCGCCGCAGGACGATAAGGTTTGTGAGTATTAAATCGAGCGTTTTATGCATTAAACAACATATGATTACAAAGTAACAAAACAGTACTGGGCGTAGATCGCATTATGCATTATATCTTACGTGTAATACTAGCAGCACTTTGAGAGGGAATACACAAATGAGGGAGACAAAAGGATGTTAGATTTGCAAATGCACTGAAACAAGTATGAAATAAACCTCCGTGTTCATGGTGTGGTAAAACGATATTTGACCAACCGTGTGGTGCATCGCACAACAATCCGACGTGTAACAAGATTCAGATTCACAGAGCTGAGACTGGACGAGTGTTATACTTAATCGCTGTTGGTGCATAAACAGTGTCAAACTTGCATCGTGATCATGTTTCACCCAAGATTATAGGAGTGCAGAAATGTTTCCAACAACTGATAAGATAAAGAAAAACGATTTACAGTCATCAACAAATTCGGTGTTGTTTTTAATTCTATCTCCGTGGACAACTCAATTGTTTAATGACTACGGACAGCAGACTGTAACTTATGCCCGGGGTTCTATTCCCGGCTAAGGTAGAATTATTTTAGCAGTCTTTGCCAGGCCACCCACCTCCATACAATATCGGGGTCTAGAATAAATGGAGCTCGCCTCCACACATCCTCCATAAACGTGGAGCACAGACTCAGAAGCTTTTTCGCTCATCTGGCAGAGAAGATGAGAGGGAAGCGTACATTTTAAAAACAGAACACTTGCTGCTTTAAACACCTCAGTGGTATTGATTCTCGTTTATTGCTGCAAATCTTATAAGAAGCTAAATACAACATTGTACAGAGAGACAAAATATTTTTCTTTGCATCTTGCTAATTAACGATGCATGAAGTAGGTCCTTCCTGAATAACTGATATCAATGTTGGTCAAGAAATTCGCCAGCTTTCGAAACCAGAAGGTTCATTACCGCTTTCACAAGCGCCACTCATAGGTCCCTGTTCAGTGCACGCCTTTATATCCTATTATTTAAGATATTTTATAATAGTATCTTATCATCCAAAGCTACATCTTCCAAGTGTATTTATTTTGGGTTTTCCGATTACATTTATTAATAAACTGATAGCCCGAGAAGACTTTATTAATCAAGAATGTTTAAATGTTGATTAAAACAAAACCTAGTTCATACATCTTTAAGTGACAGGACGACAGGAAAAATCTGATGTTTCATAATATTATAACTTCTTCCTTCATTTTTTCTTTGAGTCCATTTTGGGAAATCCCAATAACGTTCACATTGAGCGTCAGGTGGAATAGCGTTTATACTAAATTCCTACGGAACGTCGTAGAAAATTTCTGGTTTCGATTCATAATACCAAAATAAAGGAAAAACAGTTTATTAATTTCAAAGAATAAACATACGGATGGCCAGAACTTACGTCCTTATAATTGGTGTATTTTATCCACTTCATTAAAAGAACGCATCATACTATTTCAGAAAAAAATTACTCACGTGCCCTGATTTTGAATACAAATAATATTATCCATTAGCCTATATATACGTTCAAGTTTGCTTATGTTTGACATGCCTTCTGTATCGACCAGTATTTCATATATATTTCAACTATTATCGATTATAAACGTACAGTTATAAATGCTTCTAAGAAAGCTCGATTCCAAAATAAAATTCCTGGAAGAAAAAATTCCCCAGATAGCCTTCCTATAAATATTCTTTCCAACTGGTAATACTGTTCACAGTGTGACTGGTACTTGTACATTATTCCAGGAGGTATGGTCTTCGACTATCGTCGCCCGTACTCGCTCAGCAAGAGTAAAGACAGCAGTTTGCAGTTCGGCACACACTAAAGATGACAAGAAGATGGTTAAATTTAGATGATGACCAGAAAGGGGAGTGTGGAGAGCTAAACGTAATGTAGTATCCGAACCGAGCTAGAAACCTAGTCTAACCCCTACAAAACATTCACAAAGTAATGAGAACTTACTAAGTCTGGGACAAAAATAGCGTCATTTGAGGTAGGGTCATGTAATTTTGTTTGACTGTTTCTGCAGCTTTAGTTGAGGTCAAATCTAAAAGTTCGTGACGATTGTGAATTATTTGAATAAAAATTTCCTTGGATATTTTCCATCGTCTAGTAAAATAATAAAATATAAAACGACGTTTCGGAGATGAGGGTCTATCTCCGTCTTCAGGTACCTACTCTACTATTTTATTGTTTTACTAGACTATGGAAAATATCCAAGGAAATTTTTATTCATTTAGTTGAGGTATTTTTTAAAATGAAACTCTAATATAACACTATGTTGATCTATACAATGAATTATTTTGGCCTCATGACGAAATTTGTACGATACGACATATAAAGAAAAAGGAAAATCTAAGGTCATAGCTGGCCTCCCAGTCTCCACCGACAGTGGTCCACAGTGTTAACCGCAGTGATCTGTTAGAAATGGCTTACTTTAGTCTGGTTTTAGAAAGGAAATCTACTTTAAAAGGAGTTATGTCACCTACAAACCTGTGCTTTTTCTCTACCCATGGAACTGGTCAATTCTTGAATTATACCTGGTGGAAACAATTCCTCCACAGTTGAATATTTTTAAAGTCATGTCTTTATGGGAGGTTGTTCTAAGGTTATGTAAAGGCACAATTTCAAACGCAGAGGTTATTATAACAATTAATGAGATCAGAAAAAGTCACAGAAGTGGAGTGTGAAGATAAATGTCTTCTGGAATGTTGCGCTGTAAAGTCTCGTAGAAACTGACCGACGTTTCAGAGGTGAGTACTATCTCCATCATTAGAATAATACAGAACTCCCGGCACATTAAATAAGTTCTGTCTAACAAAATTCTAGATTATGTACCAACTGTAAATTAGTTTACGACAAAATGCTGCTGAAAGCTATCTTGCGCCATAATCCAATGTATAATAAGGCAAGAATTAAAGGGCCATACTGTCAGTGTCGACAGTATTTTACGGATTCTTAATAATTCGGCCGTTTTGCTTCTGGTTTTATACCTCGGTGTTTTAAAACGCAACGGCGAGCTGCAACAGCAGGTAGCAAAGAACACGGCGATTCGAAGTGCAAGATCGTCTGTGTTAACACCAGACCTCCTCCATATGTTCACGTTCATTAATTACTTGCAGCCTGTAAGGTCGATCGATACACGTTAATTTGCCATGACGTAAATACAACTGTGACTGGATGACTCCAGCCGACCTCTTGCGCTTGCCCGCAGCCCGCATTACCATTTGTACTCCTGAACTGCCTAATATCTCAACATCATAATATATTTCTTTATCAAATACTAACATAATACCTGGCAGGAGACCGAAAATGTACGGTTCCTACAACTGCCTACGATGAGGCTCAATATTATCTTCGCGTTATTTGCTTGGTCTTCCAAGTGGCAAAGTAAGAAACCACATTTAAAATTAAGAACGACAAGCACCTCTCTAATTAATTGACAACGGACAAAATTTATTTTTAATAATTATCTGAGGCGGCTGACCTGGAATTACGATCATAGCCAATCTTCCATCTATCCTCGAGATACTCATTTGAACCGCCCTCGCATCTGAATCCAACGTTCTGTCTGTCGGTCTCCCGTTTTAAATGTCTTTTGAATTCATCAAGTTATTTTATATTGTTAAGTTATTTAATGAACAAAAATGAGCAGGCAAAGGATCTGGAAAAAGACGGTCATATCTTATCATCGCAGTTTCAGGCCATTACAGCGCCGTAAGTCTATCCGGCTTTACAATGAAGAAAATTACGCTAAAACAGCACAGCGGATCGACTAAGAATATGATTCAATAATGTTTCTATGTGCCAAATTCGTCTGGACGGACTGTGAAATCCCTTTCAAGGCTCAGTGCCAGAATTATGTACAGGAATCTTCGCTATGTGATGAGCCAGCACTTTGGGAACGTCTTGAAATATGGAACGCTGAGGGGTCGTATGATGAAGCCTTACACAACCGGTCAATAAATACTCTCTCTCTCTCTCTATATATATATATATATATATACACACACACATACCATTAGACTGATTGAGAGCCAGACAGTTTAATAAAAGGCATCAGTAATGTCAAACAGGTCTCAGGAACACACTCCAACCCTTCGCCGCGGGCAGTGTTCCAGCGCCATTAGCATTTCGAAAGAAAGTTATTTACGCTGCAACTAATTTATGTAAAGACCTGTGTCTGGATCAGACGCTCACAATACTGTGATTGCCTGACAGTCAAGAATCCAGAGGCGGATTATTCACACTGCACGTGATTTTCTTCTATAACTCTATTCTTATTTTATGTAATTTTAACGATGCCTTTACAAATTATAGAACGGATCAAGCTGGTGTAGTCTGCGGTTAGTACTCAGAAGTAGAAGATTCGAATTTGCGCATTCATGATCATGTGACAGTTTCATTGTCGCTACAGTCTGCAGCTCAAAAGGCATCCTTGAATAGTTTAGGAATCATGAGTGAGGAAGTATGTAAAAGGACCCGGCCGTGGCATACTTAAATTGATTATCATTGAATTAATCTATAGATAATAAGGAAAACTACAGTAAACGTCAAACGGCCGAAATTCGAAGTGCATCCAAAGAATGCGATGCAGGAGTGGATACCTTTTCACCGATCGCCATATTATATAAACAGCTGTCATTAAATAATAATAACAATACATGAGTATTGAATCCAAAAAACAAATTTTCATAATGAATATTACCATGGGTGGAATTAAATATCCACGTTTACAGTGTCCGTGAGAGTTGCCGAATTTAATCATAATTCTCGAAAATGACTCCCTATTTCCATAATATAACACCAAGTTCCAAAACGTTATCCCATTTTACTGACGACAGAGCTTTAAAATTCCAAGGCATTTTAAATCGTGCGAAGAAAAGGAGGAAAACTGAGAAGAAAACGGAATGAAACGTTGAAAACAAGAAAGAAAGTTTGATTTTCAGAAAAAAAATTGATAATTGAAGGACGTATGTTAACACTTTCTCATTCTGAGTACAATTGATTTTCATGACATTAACTATGTACATTTCAATCGTGGCCACTAACGCAAATGAACTACCTTAACAGGAAATTAGTGCAAGAACTAGCTCGATTGGACTGGAAAACTTAAGCATAAACGGCAAGACGGTAATGTACAAACAGTATAATTTTCAGCAATTCCAAATTTACTCCCATTTTATTCCCTTTCTAAACTCCGATTACATTCCATATCTCGCATGCAGTCACATAAAAATTCCACCCGTCAGGTGCCCTCAACGATTAGATACATAATAGAATACACATAACGCATTCAGTGCAAGACTTCTGTTCGCCATACACATTTCGTACGTCACATACGAACAGATGAACGTATTTTCTGAACCCTGCAGGCGATACAAATATCGCCTGCAAAAGCTCAATCAGTCGAGATGGCCGGCACATACAGAACAGCAATGAAGCCCACTCACTAGACATCGCAGACATTTTCCCTGGAATTAAGCTTTTGTATTAGGAATCTAACCAATTACATTTTTCTGATTCACAATGGAGTACATGTGGAAATTATATCAATGCCCTTCATACGCCTGCATCGCATGAGAGCGTAAGACACAGGGATATTTTTGTAATATAAGTTACATGTCGCAGAACATGTACCTTACCGTGTTAAGATATTTCTTTTGGATAATTTGTTAATTTTCAGTTTTATGCATATTAAACAGTGTACTTTTGTGTGTGTGTGTGTGTGAAAAAGTGTGTTCTGGGTTGTGACGCCACGCGATTTGTACTACCAACGTTTCGGAGTAAGTTATCGCCTCCATGTTCAGAGCAGAAGTAGAGATGAAGCAGATACTTTCCTGAAAAAATGGCCTACTAGACTGCACGCAGTCGGAACCAACAAACTACAACCGACACCAGATCTCGCACTCTTGACTATTACTTTAGAAAACGGCTATCAGCAAAGTGAAACGACACCACTGGGTTCATCTGTATCAAGTGTAGTAGCAAACATATTTGTACAGAATTTAGAACACGACCACTTTTATACCATTATACAAGACATTAACATTGGATTTATTTGTAGGTATGTAGAATTTACGTTTGCTAGTACAGCATAGTTCAGCAATCAAACGTTAGCAGTTTTTTCAGTTTTCTTTAGATTCATAAACAATAATGTTTACGCTGAAGACGGGAAATAATAACAAGATTAACTACATGGCTATTGCACTAATGAGATGAAAATATGGAGATAGTAATACACAGAAAACAGGTATAACCATTAATAATTAATTTTGTCATCCAGCAGAACATAAACACGTGTTTCTTAATATAAAAGTCCTATGTACGTACTTAACACACCAATGTCACAATAAGGTGAAAATGAGTCATAAAGCCACAAACACTGAATACACCACAGATAGGGCAAACACGAAGAATGGAATAACATGAAAAAATAATACAGCTGACACTAGACAAGGCAGACAAATGTGATTGCGAAACAATTTAAGACAGACAACAAACATATTTCTTGACATAAATTTACGAATATCACACAAACCCAATTAATGATCTGAAAAATACCCTGAAGTAACAAGGATAGAACATATAAGGGAGACAAACTTAATGTTGCTTTTACGTTAAGAAATACTTTACAGAACTATTGGTATGTCCACAAGTATAAGGCAAAATGTTGGGCCAATATTCAGATAAATATGGTTAAAGTTCCCGGTCATGAAAACTAGCAATGGCTGGGGGTTCGTCGTGCTGACCACACGTCACCCTATATCTGGTTGGATGATCGTTCACCTCTGCTTAGGCATGTGAACGTGAGGCCAGCAGCCAGCTAGTCGGCTTTGGCTCTCAGAGGGCTGTTACGCCACGGATTTAATTTTTAATGGTTAAAGTTCAGGATCCGTCGGAAGACAACGAGAAAATACAATCAAAAGTTCAAAGATGCTGCAACTACAGCTCAATCTCTTTTATCCGGCTTAAAAATTTGAATTAGGCATCGCAGTTAATCAAATCGCACCCTCTTTTCTACCCTGACCTAGCTCGGTCACCAAACAAACTCGCTTAGCAGCACATACGAGGTCAAAAGGTTGCCATGGTTACCATAATTTCGTTACCAGCCGCAAGCTGTATCCATCTCTCTCATTTTCACACTCTCTCACTCACAAACTCTCATGCTTGTTCTGCGCAGGGACAAGTTGCTGATGTTTATTTTTTGCCCATGTTTCTTATCTTAGAAGTTCAAAAGTGTTTGTGGTAGTACATCACGTCAGTGGGCGTAGCTCTGTGCCCCTTAATAGCGTCTGAACTAAGTAATCGATTTTCTGAAACTCGAAAGAAGCGAAGGAACGTTACAGTAGCAGCAATAGTTACAATAATAGTCGTACCAGTGGTCGTGGTGGTGGTAGTAGTACAATAAACGGAAAATTTAAAAGCATATGAGGCGGAGGTCTAGCAGACGCACAAGCGAATCAATGTAATACATAGCCTTCCAGCGCAGCCTAGTGTAGGATATGGGAACTTCAAAAATAGCCCAGGAAACCAAAAAGTAACCACACAAGACTCAAACCCCCAAAACGAAAAACACCGAAATACGCATAAAAACGAAAGTCACGAAATAGCAAGCCACCTCCTTACATGTCAATGTTTACTTCTAAGGGAGTGCAGGTATAGCTCCTACTCATTCTCAACCGCGGCACTAGATGGGGGTGAGTAAACAGCATGACGCTCCGACCGAGCTTTACCCCTGGAGCAGGTCTGGACGCAGAGGCTAAAAGAAAATCCTCTGCCTTTGTCAGGGATCAAACCCCGATCGCCCAGCCTGTAGCCAGTCACTATACCGACTGAGCTACCCGGATCACAAACATTAAGAATATTTGTTTACCGAGAATTATTAACTTCAATACATCGATGTTTCAATATTGATAAATACATAAACAAACCAAATGTGAACTAACCTAATACAACATATCC